ATAGAATTGACTTTTTTTTTTTTTTGTATTTCCAATTCTTTCTTCAAGGTTTCTGATGGCAAATGCCAGAGGTTGTTAGTGTTAGTCTGACTGACTGCTGAAGATGTGCTTGACAGTTTTGATCATGTCCCATGCAAATTAACTATGGTAATTGTTCCCTATATTCTCTACATACAAAAATTGCAGAATTGCTTCATGATATGCTTTTGCCTTATTAATTAGTAGAATTAGTGTAGTAGAAATTAGTGTAGTAGAAAACCTGGTAGTGGACAATACCAACAGTATGGAAGAGTAATTTTCATTACAGTATTGTCTTATGGCTTCCCAGGGTTAATGGCTTTTTCTTAGAATCACCGTTGTTCTCCCTAACTCTGTGAGTATGTAGAGCTCCTTAACACTTGATGCACACGCACAAACACACAGGACTTGTTTCTCTGCTCAGCGAGATGAGCATTGCAAAGAAGTGGTGAGATTTTTATGGTGAAGCAGCCTGGCTGTCAGTCGCTCCTGACCCTGGATTTTCCAGACACAATCAAGTCCGAAGAGATGACACATACTTGTAGCAAAAAAATTGGCTTTGAGTTTCTCTTTGGTTAGCAAAGGCAATTTTAGTAGCAAGAAATGAGGCAAATGTAAAGTGTGCCTGCCAGTTGTCTGACGTTTCAGAGCTCCAGAAAGAATGCACTTGAGTGGGGAAAAAAAACAACTGTGTGCTAAAATACCTGGTGTTCACAGGCCATACATCTTCTCAGAGAGAAAAGCTCAAGAAACCCATTGTTGCTGTAAACAATTTATTCTTCAGTGATTTTCTATAACAACACTTCCCTGGGTCTAGCTGGTGATATTTGAAACTACTCATGAAAAATGTAAGAGATGTCAAGTTGCCTTATGATACTAGCGTGTGCCAAGCAGCTGAGCAGTGTTTAGGGAAATAGAACCTACAAAATCATGATTAAAATAGCATTTGAGGAAGGCAGGGAAGCCTCCTTACTCTGCTGTGCTAATGAATAATGTTTGAGCAGGATGGACTTTCTCACTGCCATTTGGACAGCGTCCTCAAATACAGACTGAAAACACCCAGCACCTCTGAAATGCTAAGGCTTCATAGGTGATGCAGGTGGTGTGTATGAATAACAATGTTTTGTTGGTTTACTTGGAAGTCCTTCTTTACGTGGATGGGATGGGCTGGATATTAGTAAAGTACCTTCTTTGGAAGAGTGGTCAGTCACTGCAGTGGGCTGCCCAGGGGGGTGGTGAAGTCCCTGTCCCTGGAGGTGTCCAAGGAACGTTTAGGTGTGTCACTGAGGAACGTGGTTTAGTGGGGAAATGGTGGTGGTAGGTGGGCGGTTGGATTACCTGTTCTTGGATGTCTTTTCCAGTCTTGGTGATTCTGTGGTTCTGTGTGCAATGCACCTGCAAAACCAGGGAGAAGCTCTGTTTTCTGGGTTAACTCAGTGCAGTCTTAGTGTTTTTCCTGCAGGTCATCCAGGACATGCAGCATGCCATGTTGCTGGTTTGTGTAGAAAATACTCTTGATCACTGCACTTACAAACAGATCTTTCTCTTGAACATAATACAGAGCTGTAACGACTGGAATCTGTCTATTTACAGTCACAGGAAGAAAGTAGTTTTTTCATTCACACACGTAGTTTTACTTTTTCTGTATTTTAATTTTGTCCCGTAGCAATCGGCATAAGTTTTGTTTTCCTTCTAATCTGTTTGTTGAATGAAAGCTCCTCGTACGAATACTGCTATACGCTAGGCAATTCAGAAGTGTTTTATATCATTTAAATATGCACCTGAGATAAAATGGAAGGATACCACCCTGTTTAAATAGAGGCATTAAAAAATTGATCTTCATTTCTTTGTGTTGTACATTACGTATATTTTTTCATTTTTTCCTGTGGAAAGTGTATTCTGTTGTTCCACGTTAACAGCAAGAAATGGACGGTGTGAATAGAAAGCTTTGAGGATAAAATGGACCCACAACGCTTAGGATCTGTTCCTAAGTCTGTTGTTGAATAATTGTTCTGGCGCTGATGCCTGCAAACAAATACACCTGTGTTATCGCCTTGCGCTTTCTCCCTTCTCTCCCTTTTACTTTTTCTCTCACTTCACTGCCCGAACTTGTTTGCTTATAAGTTTGGAGCTTTCAAGAAGGAGAGTCCCAGGGAGTGAAGATTACTTCATGTAAGTTGCATATCAGAAGAGATCGTAGGCACACACGTGTGCCCTGAAAGGTATCACGCAGGATTTCTTCTTTAAAACTGAGTTTTGCATTTTTATTAATATTACTGTATAGGGAGATAGCATATATATGGATGAAATGGCAGCGCAGGTTTCTTGGGAGTGGTGAGGAGCCATACGTGGCGTTTTGTTTCGGGGTAGCTGATGGTGTAATGGACAGGCTGCTGGCCCAGGCATTGGCCTTCTCAGCTGTATCTGTAAATGAAGTGTCATGTTGAACAAGTCCTGCTCTATTGGTATTTCATCTCAGCTTTTCCTGATTAAAAGTTATGCCTGTGCATGTATGTATAAAAATGGGGATAAAAAGATCTACGTATTACGGATGACCGGGGATTACTTTCACACATAGAGCACCCAATTTTCAAGTGCAGATAGGAGAAAAACCCACAAAGGAAGTCAGAGCACCTGTTCTTAGCAAACATGACAGCCTGCCAGCATTTCATCTTGAGATGTGCTTAAGACTATGACAAAGATAACCAGAAATTACTGTGCACTGGGATAGCAAATTAAAATGCAGAAGTCAGCGAGGCCACAGGATATTGGATTTAAGACCATGACGAGGTTGTCAGCACTGATGACATTACGTGGCTGGGAAACTATATTGGTGTGCTTGATGCGTACACTGATGGCATCTGATATGCAGATGCTGAAACCTGACAAAGTCTGAGTCAAATCTATGGGAAAAATTGCCACGTTAAGCAACTGAGCATCCATGAGTTAGTTAACGGCAGGGATCTGAAGCAAGTTTGAATGTATGTACTGTGAAAGATATAGAAGAAATATTCTGGAATAATTTCCTGTTTTAGACATAAGTAAGAAATCATTTGAAATGATACCTAAAGAAGGAGTTTGCTACAGTTAAATACTTGCTGAGATAGCAACTGATACATTTAAGCTGCTTTTGACTTTTCATGGGAAATGTGCATTTGAGAAGTCACTCTGCATTAATCTGCCGTGTCGATCTTTGACTCTGTGATGTGTGACGCTATCTCTGTCGAGGACAAAGCTGGCCACAGTCAGTGTTTCCAGAGTTCAGTGTGGATGCAAGGAGGCAGCTTTCAATGGAGCATGTGCATTTCATAACAAAAAATTCTGTAGCTAACAGTCGAAGTACCAGAATTAAAAATAATAGAGAGCCATTAGGAGCAAAATCACCACCTGAAGCTCAGGAAGTTCCCTAGCTGCAGGCTCTTGTAAGCTGAAGGGTTTACCTGGCAGTATGACCATATCCTGGTTCCTGTGCACCTTCCTGGCACATCCAATCGTTGCTGCTCTTAGAGGTAGAACTGTAATAGTTAATTAGAAACTGAACATCCAGGAAGGTGAGCTGGTTTGGAGAAGCCTGCGATCTGCTTTCTGACTCTGAGTTCACCTTGCGGTGTTCCTCCTAGTGTTGCTACTGAAGTTTCAAGAAAGAAAGGAAAAGAAAACACCTGTAAGTTAGAGCTGTGAGTTTTCTGAGCAATGTGGATTTGTTTCATTGCTGCTAAGAAGATAGAAGTTATGTTTTTTCTCAGAGCGCAATTTAAATACCTAAGTTCTTGACTCATCTGTTTTGGCGTGGCATTCAAGTCAGTATGAATTTCACTCATTCCCATCCACCTTCCAACTTGCTAATCATGCAGAACATCTTGTGTTTTCTGATCCTTGGAACAGGTGTGAGTTTTGTTTTGTTTGTTTTACGAAACCAGATAATTTTATGAGTGTTTTATGGACAACAGCATGAGATGTGATGGACACGTTGAAGAGTTTTGTCCTTTGCCTCATCTAACTTGATCTTTTGCCTTAAAAAGGGCAACAGTTCTGACAAAACATACTCTCCTATCATTTCTGGCCACACATCCAACATGTAATGTTATCTGACAGTAAATGTGGAGCTTCATCAAATCACTCATCTTCCCATGTTTCAGCAATAATTTTGAGGGAATCTGAATAAATTACATCTTGAATGGTACAGCTGCTCTCCAGCAGCAGAACTAATGAATTGTCATGACTGGGAGAAAGGGAGAGGTGCCTTGCATCCCTAATCTGAGACAGCTGACAGGATGATGTCTGATCAGCTTTAGTCACCCTCCCTAATTACACGCTGAGAAATTAGAGCCACTTTCAAGTTAATGGCTGGTAAACACCTTGTGACAATTGTAGCGTCTCAGTTTAAGAAGGGAATGGGAAGAATGCCTTGTGCTGCTTCACTGACCCTGCTGTGGTTAGTGCCCAACCCAAGTTAATCTAAATGGCTCTAGACCCTAGGGGACTAGTGGGTCTTTTTGAAACTCCTCCTAGTAGCTTTTTATGATCCACAGCCTTCTGGTTCCGTAGTCATTCTAGACACAAAAACAATGAACATTCCCATTACGCTTTTGTTTGTACAGACATATTAACGCTTTAAAGGCAAGTCCACTGTGTCATGAGCAAGAATCCATTATTCTCCTTCATAAAATCTGAGTAGGCAGTGCCATTACAAATGGCAGTGGTGCAGTGGTTATGCCAACAATGAAAATCATTTGCACTGTGTTTATATCTGTAGATACTAAATCTAGTACACCAGTTGTACCTTCAGGATGAATCTGAGTGAACTGTGAATACTAACTGAAGCTGCAGAGCTTTAAATCAATCCTAGAGCTCTGTAAAAGGAGGAGTACCTTGTCAGGTTTGGAAATGTTAATGGAGTAGTTGGCAGACCTGACTCGAATTAGAATTTGAAAGTTAAATTTCACTGTGCTCATCATTTTTTTTCCCCTTCCTTCTTGTACGGCAGAGCAAGTACAGAATGCAGATCTCTGATATGCAGACTAAGGTGGAAGCAGTAAGTGAGGAAGGTAAGTAAAGGTACTGAAAATTGAATGAATTCAGGTGGAGTTTAAATACGAAATGCTGTGCACTCTTCTGTGCTGTTTTAATGCTGCTCAATATTTATGACCTCTGGAATTTTCCTTTCAGATCTATTGCGGTATTCATCCCTTCTGCTGTGTAAGAGACAAAATCTGAAATCAGTGTATTTCTTCATATTCTGATACTGCCCTGATGAGGCCAGTATTTTGTCAAGGAAAATTAAAACATTTAAGAAGAAAAAAGACCTGCATTGATGATTTTAAAGCTAAGGAAAATCGAGCTTATTTATATCCCAGTAAACGTGAGTAACTCAATTCGTTTAACTTTTCAAAAAGACAGCCTAGAAGGAATTTGATTGCTATTATGTGAATAGTTCATCACTGACAAAAAGGAGTTGACAGAGGGGCCTCTGATTTTTTAGAGAAAGGCATAATATACTTTGATTTATGGAGAAATTGGAATGAGATACTAGCCTCAAATATCTAATCTTCTGAAAATAAAAGGGAGTCCAAACACAAATTTTGTATCTCCTGTCATCTTATACCTAAATTCTGGAAATTATACCTTTTAAGAAGATGAATGAGAAATAGGGAAACTAAGTGCACTAGAGGGTTAGCTCACTTGTTCGTATCACCCTTTGATATGCTTATTGGTCTGGAAGGCCTTTACAATGTGAAAATGATCAGTGGAAGTTAAGATGCTGTTCTGTTTTTTATTAACTGTAATTCAATACTGTGTTCAATATGATTTAAAAAACCCTAGAGGGTGTTGCAACTGAATTTCTTGTTTCTTGCTCCTCATTACAGTCACTTCTTGTGACTTGACGTTTGTATTTGAATGCAAAAAAGATCTTTGTTATCAGAGAATTATCTAAACCTCAATGGAGAGGTTTTCCCAAGTTAGACTTTTGCACGAAGAGTTGATCTGTGCAGAAGTCTGCATAGGAATACAGGTAGACGTGAAAGCAAAACAAACAACTTAATTTAGAAAACAGGAAAATGTGGAGATAAAGTTTGGTTATGCGTTCCAATTTCAGAAAGTCACAGATAGGCCTGTCACTGGGTTGACATCTGTATACATATATGGAAACTTTTTACAGGAAAGCCCTAATTATGCCTTCAGCTTGAGGGAGGGAAGTTAAATCTGATTGAAGTTTGTAGAATTTAAGTAAAATCGCTGGTGAAGGAGAAAAATATTGAGTTCAGAACTATGCGTTACTTCTGAATGAGGTGCTCTTTCATGTCCCCAAAGGCTCCAAACTGATAGAAAACATGAGTTGGTAACCAGTCTTATCTATTAAACTGCCTGCTTTGGAAAAATTATGGACTCTTTGTTCTTATTTTTCCTCTGATGTCACATGGCATTTGTCTCTTATTAGACTATTGCAAAAGACTCTTGAAAGATGAAATAAAATCCCATCAGAACTTCTTTCAAAATCACAAGTATGATGAATTCGTAGGCTTCTACCTCCACAATTGTTTCATAATATTGAGTTGGGCCAAAGCAGTAGTCGCATTTATTTAAATCTCGTGTGAGCTTCATGTAAGAAAAGTTAATAACAGCACCGTGATAAATATCCATGAAGCCGTTACACTTTGATTTCACTTAAAATTACCATCAATTATTTTTTACACCATCACCTTAGTATCATAGCATTAATCTTCACCAAAATTAACAGTTTTCCTGAATGCCTTTCTAGGGGTACCTTTACATTCTTGAAATAATATGGTATTGATACAAAGGATTATTCAGAAATGTACTAGCCACTTCCATTTTGTGTATTATGTGGCTTGATCAGTAGCTTTGTTACTTCCAACAGTCCTTCCAGTAAAGAGGCAAAGATTTAACTGAAGTTTTCCATCCAAGCAAAATTACATATGGCAGTTCTTTTACGTATTTTATCCCCTGATTATAGAGACAAAATTAAGCAATAGCACTATATCAATAAACCTTCAGGTTTTAAAGGTGCTTGTTCTTAATTTAGAAATATTTACACCTAGTGTTCAGATTGTTTTATTCCATGATTCCCTATTAAGTGTTAGTATGTCTATCAGAAAAATGTTATTTGTGTTGGATTAAGAATTGTTCCTGTAGGTAATATAGAAAAACTGCTTTCAAGAGGAAAATCACTGCTTGAAGATATTTCTCATGAAGTACTGAAATTATCATCTTTCTGCTGTCACAAAAAGCCATAAAGTTATTTGATTTTTAAAAAGCTTAAGCCTGTTAAGGAATAATGTATGTTTGTTGGTATGTCCAAAACCAATTCTTTTTTTGTGTGTGCTTTATATGTACTTAAGAGCCTCTTGTAAAAAAAAAAAAAGATACAGATTAACATACATTGACTTTTTTTTCTGCCAGTAGTAATAGTTGGATGGAGTGCCTATCTCTACATATTCTCAAAGCAATTGTTAACATCCACTGGGAGCATTACAGCATTCACCATGCAAGTAGAGAGGTCAGAAATGCCAGTGAGCTCAAATGTTGATGTGGAGGAAAAAAACATTATCTTTACCAAAATTGATGACTGGCATTTTTCGTACGTCAAGCTCTATGTAATAAAATAGGTATAAAGGAATTACCTTTATTGTAATATGCCTTGGTTGTCAAAAAATGAATTAGTTGCATAAAATCCTAACTTCTATTAGGAAATAAGAGGTGCTGTTCTTGACCAACTCTTTGCAGACCTCATGGCAACTGGAAATCGAAGGGCAGCCTTGCTGAATAGCTTGCTTTCATGTTATCTCCATGGTTCTTAATGGTATCTACAATGACTGAACGCAACACGTTCCAAAGGGCACAGTAAATCGAGGCCTTTATTAACCAGCTTCGGTTCTGGGTCTGAATTAATTAAAGCCTTGACAGGTACAAAACTCTTAATAGCTTTCCATTAAAAGCAGCCACACAACATTGCTTCCCTTCCACGACATAAAAGCAAAACAGAGGAACACCTGTTACTGCTCGAGGGCTCAAGGATCCTCTTGGATTTATTCAGGAACGTCCTGCACAGATGTGAGGCTGTTGTTGTTTTTATTATTTTTTTCTTTTTAGAAAATCTTGTAATATGATTCGTGACCACTCTAATCTTAGTGTTTGTGATCATCTTAGACACGATGGCAGGCAACTCATCATGGCCCAGTTTGCTGAGCTGCTTTTCACCGCTGTAACTTCTTCAAGTGGTTTTCTCCATTGCAAAAGAGGAGGGGCTCCTGCGTAGTGAGCTGAAGTGATGGACCGCCAGCTTCAGAGGGAGACACGTGAAAGAGGCGAGGACTTCCCGTAAGCCTGGCACCTTGTTAGGCTGGTGAGTGGTGAAATGCAGTGTTCATCTTTCCTTAACCTGCGGGATGTTCTTTTTCTCAGAATAAGAAAGAAGGGGAAAGAAAGCAGAAGACTAGTTTTAGGAGAGAGGCAGCAGCTACGGTGAGCTATCTTGACTTTGTACAGATGCTTTCAAATTATAGATTTTCTTAAATCTTTCTTAGAAACATACTGTATAGTTTGTATAATGCCTAAAATCTCAGATGTCACTTTGCCACATGAGATTTCACGTGAGAAGTTTGACATTGATAGAATTTCAGACTTCTCTGAACAGATAATTTATACCTCATATATACTTATCTATGTTTGATTCTTACAGAGAGAGATCATTTTATGCAATGATCGTTTGTTGCTTTCAACAGTCCAAACTGAAAGGGCCCATTACAAAATTTACCTCTAAGATAGCAGTGTCACAGAAGAGTAGTAATTGCTTTGCACAGCAACAAGAAAAGAAAATGACCCAAAAAACGTCAAATTTCTTCAACGTGTAGGTAGTCAGCTTCATGTGGAAGCATATTTCTTTTCATCAGGTGCTTTTCACTTCTGTTCCTCTATTTGAAATATACTCACCCAAATATCTGAACTGCCTTTTCCCAAGGAAGATCAGAGCTCATGGCAGCGCTACTGCAATGAAGTTGATCTTTGACATTAGGGGCATAGGGAGCAATACCATGGTGTAGAAATAATGAGCTATGAGGGCAGCTATGTTTTTTCAGGCACTGGTGCTGAGTGAGGAATCCTAGTGCAGAATGAGGGCATGCTGCCTTCTGGTGAGTCTAACTACCAGATTTTAGGCTCACCTGCAGTGATGCTGGCTGCAAAGACATTTGGCATTAATTCACGTGTGGTGTGTGAAAGATGTCGAGTTGTGTGGTGAAAGGTGATAGATAAATGTAGGGTGAGCAAACAAAAGCATTTTACCAGAGTATATGGGGCAACAGAAATAACTCGGGGTAATGCTGTATGTTCAGGCAAGGAAGCAATACCCTGTAGCAGTGCCTGTAGAATCATAGAATCTTTTGAACTGGGAGGGATGCTCAAAGGCCATCTCGTCTCGCTCCCATGCAGCGAACAGGGAAGTGCACAGCTGTATCAGGGTGCTGGGCATCCACCACATCACTGAACAACCTGTGCCAGAGCCTCAGCACCCTCACTGGAAAAGACTTCTTTCTTATGACTGACCTAAATCTCCCCTCTCTAAATTTGAAACCATTTCCCTTTGTCCTGTCACCACACTGCTAAAGAGCCTGTCCCCTTCTTTCCTGTAGCTCCCCTTTAGATACTGACAGGCCACTGTCAGTTTGCCTTGCAGCCTTCTCTTCTCCAGGCTGAACAGCCCTAGGTCTCTCAGCCTGTCCTCCTAAGGGAAATGTTCCATCCTTTGGATCATTTTTGTGGCCTTCTCTGGATGCACTCCAAGAGATTTTCAAGCATTGGAATTTGCATGCATGTAGGGGTACGTTTAGATGTTTCTTATTTATTTATTAATAATATAAATGTATCTTTTTAATCTGGGCACGTTATGCTTCTAGGGTCTTATGCCCTGGGGATAAAATCCTACTCTTTGCTTACTTTTTGAGCATGTGTCCCACTGCCATTACCGACTTGTCCTGTTAAAGCTTCTCTGGTGCAAAGTCCACTTGCAATGATGTGGTTTTGGGATGTGTTTGTTTTTCCCAAGAGCTGATGGGCTGCTGTCATTCTAGGCATCTCTTCAATGTTCAGCAGGATGATGAGATGAGCACCTGCCTGTTTCTGCAGTTTGCATAATTTCTGTAGGTGATGCACTACACAATTCTTGGAGGTGCGTGTGAAACGATCTCGAATGATGAGGGAGTGCTGGAAAAAAGAGATGAGAAGTTCCAGCTGTTTCTACTCCCATTTCATTTTTAAACAGGGATGGACAGGGGAGAGAATCGCAAGGGGAGGGGAAGGAAAGGATTTGGGGATTGCAAATATTTCTGTGCCAGTAACATGCTATTTTTCAGCTCCAAAAGAACTCTCTGTAGTGCAGAAATGAAGTGGTTTACCCAGCAGAAAATAAGTGTTGCTGCAGTATTTTTTTTGGCAGGAGTTGGTGGTTCATCATTTGGACACATCAGGTACTTTCTCTGTGGCTGTCGTGTAATTTAAAATGACAATGTTGCAAATGCTGACAAAATTACGGCGTATTGATTGGTGGTAGAAAACTAGCAGGGCTGGGAGCACTCATCTGTGCAGTACTACTTTGAAAGTGAGTTGGAAAAGCACTTTTCTTTTTGCTAGTTTGTTTGCTATGCTCCATCGTTGATTGACCAGGAGGGGAACTAGGAAATTGTGGACTATCTTGAAATCTCTCTCTGTGGTCTTTGGTGTTGTATCACTAGCAATTTTAAAGACTTGTGGATGGGACACAGCTGTTTAGGCTGAACTTGGTACAGAAGCATAAAGCCACTTCTTGAGGAAGTCCCTTGTATTGCTGTTAAAAACAAGGGTCACTTCCACCTATAGTGTCTTTCTAAGACGAGAAGTTGGTGCGCCTCTAACCTTTCCAGTATTATTGATGCATTTTAGTGTTGACTGATTTACTTCTTTATTCTTACTGTTCCTTGGGTTGGGAGTAACACTGCAAAGCAGTGCATCTTTTTCCTTAACCAGTAGCAATCCAAAGGCTTTTCTTCTTGCAGTGCTGTCCACTTTAACAGTACTAGCTTATTTGAGTCGTCGTTCTTTGGCATCAGTATTTCTATGTACCTTAGTACTGTTTTCTTATAATTAGACTGATCCTGAGCAGTTTCCTGTTTTGTCCAGGCAATCATTTCTTAAATCATACGAATTGGGAAGCCAAACTGGTACGAACAGACTTTGTGTGAGAGATGGATTGCCCTAAGTAATAGGCTAGGACTCCAGAAACTCGAATTCAGTGGTCATCTCATGCAAGCACTTCTACACTTCAAGATCTTGCTTAATCCATTAATTGGTCTGTGAGGTGCATGTGCTACCAAGATCGGTGCACATATTTGTTCTGATTTCAACTGGTACGAACAGACTTTGTGTGAGAGATGGATTGCCCTAAGCTAGGACTCCAGAAACTTGAATTCAGTGATCATCTCATGCAAGGACTTCTACTGTGATCTTGCTTAATCCATTAATCGGTCTGTGAGGTGCATGTCCTACCAAGTCAGTGCATGTATTCGTTCTGATTTCAGTGAATTTTAGCTTCCTTTAAGTGTAACCATCATTACCATCCTTCCAAGTTTTCTGTAATACAGACAGTGCATATGCTTAAGCATCTGAAAAGCATCAGAAAGCGTGGCTGTGGTGGCACATGAGTAGTGCTGCTGACAATAGAAGAAAACAACCTTTGGAAGGCCAGGTTACCGCAAATCCAGAAAATATTTGTCATGCCCAGAGAATTGATCTGAAATTTGATCAATCTGGGAGAATAAATCACAGCAGAAAGCATGCGATAGAATTGTCCCTTACAGAAACTCCCAATGGAATTTGTTTTATGGAAGTAGACTTAAATATTTGTATTAGTAATAGGCCTAGCGTGCTGGAAGGAAGCTTTGTAGAATATGTGCAACACAAAGCAAAATTCAGTATGCAGTGCAAGAAGCATGCAAGTGTATTTTCCCTGCTCCCCGTTGTCATCCTCCCAGAGATGGCAACAGTGGAACTATAGAAAAACGGCAGGGGCAGCAGAAGGAGCAACGTGTACATCAGTGCTTCTAGGCAGACTAAAGCTTTTCCTCTGTGCTATGGAGAGCTGGATGGCTTTAAATGTGAGTAATTACAAATGTTAACCGTATGAACCTCATTTTGTACATCTTGGTGGTAGTATTTTATTTTTTATAACCAAAAAGAAATGCTAACTGTCTCCATGAGGGGACAGTAAAGCAGAAGGGATGAGAGTGACTAACTCCTGAGGGTTGCTGCCACCTGATAGCTCCTTGTACTGCAAACTTGACCTAAATTTAAGAAAAAAGTAGTAAAATAAAAAAAAAAATTAAGACTATTTGTCATAAAACTAAGCATATGTCGTAGTGCTAGTTATCTTAACATAACAAAAAAGATGTCTTTTGAGAAACAGTAAAAGCCATTGTAAAAGTATTTTATTTATCCCAGGGTTTCTCTGGGTCTACAACATAGAATTGTTTTCATTGTTTATAAATCAGGGCAAAGGGGCAAGGAAACTTTTGTCCTATAGCTGTGCCAATCCGTGTAATGAAGTCAGTGTCCTACATAAATGGAGAGAAGGCAAAGCCCAAATAAGAAAGCTTTGTCTGGTATTACTGGTGATAGCTAGGATTACCAGTAAACAACAAAAGGTACTTCTACAAAACAGAGAGCTTGCACAGGTCTCTTCCTCTGAATAGCAAATAAGACAAAACCCTAAACCTGGCAGATCTGCTCTGCACCTGCTGAACCAATTTTGGCTTTCACAGTTTGCACTAACATGAGTTGGAACAACTGTAATATCTGCAGAGCAGAGGAGGAGCAAAGAATCTGCTGTGGTGTTCGGTTTGAAATTATTTTCAGCCAGAATGCTGAATTTAGTACACAGTACAGATCCTTCTAAATGAGGAGGGATGGCTGGGAGGGAAAGCAGGCAAGAAACGTAGCTTAAGAGAAATTTCAAGTGCAGCTGTATAAACTGCATATTTCTCATGCTGCTGCTGCTTACCTATAATAATTATTGAAGAAAGAAGTCTAAGTAGTTTATCCCTTTTTTCTGCTATTTTTTTTCCACTCAACTTTATTCCAAGAATTTCTTATCAGCAGCTCTATTTTGTCTTTCATCCGCATTATTGAAGGACAGAGTTTATATGCAAAATTAAAAGCAGTGTAAATCCACAGCAGTTGTGAAGATTGGCTGTTGATTACTTGCCCAACAGTAATGATTTCATTAGCTCCTAGCAATAGGCCTTTGTTATTTTGGGGTCAGCCATGGGTAAGTAGTGATCTGTAAGTTC